GTAGAAAAGTGATTTTGATAATGTATCATATTTTAGCTAGTAAAACTTGTTTTTGCTTTTGTCATTTTTAATAACTTTTGCTGGACACAAAATTTAGGCATTTTAAGTTTTTCTACATATCATTGTAATATATTATGGAAATACCTATCTCCCCGTTGTTTATTTTGTAGACATATTTTATAACGGTAAATGTTGGTTCGTATATAGGTACCTATTATGAGATTTAAAATATTTGTCATATTATTTTATTTAATGAAAATTTAACAAATGAAATATCTTATCATTGTAATACAACCATACACCTGTGCATGATCATAATATTATAAGACGCAGGAACCAGATTCGTATGCTATTTTTGACAGTTTAACATAGTATCATAATATTTATAACTATGATTTATTATGCAACATTAACTGATAAATTACATTTAATTATAAAATGACCAAGTAGTTACCATTATTTTTGACTATATATTCTGGTTTACCGATTTTTTTCAACACAATACGTTGATTTGTGTTTTTTGTATAATATATATTCATAAAAAAAGGTTTTACACTCACAAGTTATAACATTTAGTTGAAAAATACCGAGAGTATGAAGATTGCAGTAGATGTCGGTAAAATTGACCAACGTGATTGTACATAATACAGATTACAGCGTGTGAAAGAAATTAGTAAACATTATTATCCGTTCATGTAGTATAATATAATTATATTTTTATACGTACCTAAATACCTAATACACGATATAATTACATATGATGGGAACGATGAAAAAATGTAAAGGAGAACAGCCATTATCGAGCAGAGTACTAATGGTATATCATTTTAAATTTTAATACGTCTAAAAAACTTTCATTATAAATACCAGTTAAAAATCCATAATCGAAAAAATTTAAAAATCTTCTCTAAATTATAGTAAAAATGTAACCATATCTTTATATTAAAACTGTAAAATTCCATCACCCACGGTACTACAAATTGATACTTGACAGTAGGAATAAAACAAATGATGAAAGACTTTTAATTATTTTAAATTAGTATTTAGATATTTAAGATGCTATACAAATTTAAATAAATGTTGAATTGATTTTTAGCAAGATAATAAGATGTATGTGTATACGATTGTGAGCAATTAGTCTGATTTAAAATGGTTAGTAGAGAGTAAGTGTTTAGTTTGAATTTTTGACTTGTGTAATGTTATGATGATGTGTTAATGATAATGCGTTTAAGTCTCCAATATAATTTCTTTGTTTTATATTTTAAGCTTAAATAAAATATAACATAAATATTAAGTGATTATTTTTATATTACGTCTTACTATGCGTGTAATGTGTAGGTATACTTTTTTTTATAAGTTTACACTACGTAATCTGCAGATTGGGTTTAAGCAAAATAATAACAATACAAGTAATCAGTAATCCAATATTATAATGTAGTACTCATATTTTTTACACACGTACAAAATATATAGGGTAACAGATAATTGAAGACGACATCATCAGTTCGATGGTCGGTATTTATAATAATTTATACTCTACTCGACGGGACGTCGTTTTCTCTGACTATCGCGTGGTAGGTGTCGTATACTCTTATCTAAATAATTCTTACAGAGTTTTGTGTTGTATACCGAACAATGTACATAAATATGATGCCTAGTACCTATATACTTTATTAATACATATGTATTATTCTACATATTATGTAGGTACGGTGAACAATAATTTTCTTACAGCACAGTGTTTCACTAAGACAATTTCACTATATTCTACAGTCATATGTACATACTACATATGCTATCGATACATAATGAATAAAAAAAAAATTGTATAAAACCATAAGTTTTGAGAAAAAAATCCACGAAATCAACTTTGTCCATCGATTCATTCTATACAAATTATGGTGAAAGCAGGTCTGATATAATTTGTTATATTGTAGGAAGTGCCAGGTTTTTTGTATTTGTACTTATATGCACATTAATATAGATATTATAATATGAATATATTAATGAGCATTATTTTCCGATAATTTTGATATTTTCAAATTTTGATGTTATTATGATTTTCACTCTTTTTAAAAATTATTTTAGTTACGTTTTGAATTATTTGAGTAATGAGTATACTATCTTATACACCGATCAATTACAAATTGTATACATCTCGATTAAAAGGATTTGACTGATTTTGAAATTTTATTGTTACGCTCATTTCAGATCAGGCGATCAGTAAATAACCGTGTTATTGGTCTAACATAGCTGAGTTATGGGCACGAACCCTATGACTGATTGTTGAGTTCATACTATTAAAATAAAAAATATAACTGACTCAGGAGCATTATTTACAGACTTTATTCTTCCAGTCGCATCAAGTTATTCGTTGTGTATGAATCGTAGATCAATAGTTCATACATAGGGATAGGTAATTCTCTGGAATTCAAGTAAATCATATAAAATGAATTATAGTATGCGGACATTGCTTTTAATGCTTAACAATGTATATGCATATAAATGCAGTATTTAAATGTTTTCTATAAATGTCAATTAAAAAAGGTGGCCAAGTCGGTACCACTCTGCTGCACACTAGATGTCATGTAATAGACCAGTTAAATTTTAATTCAATAGTATAAAATAATTGTATACCTACCAACAAAAAACGATTCTGAGCAAAGAAGGTCGGTCAGTCTATATTACAGGTAATATTTTTAAATTTCAAAAAATAACTCAAATCATTTTTAAAGTTTTTGGTTACACTAGAAAAAACTTATGAAAAACCTTGTTTTTAAAATTTCTGATCCTTAGCTATAATATTGAACACTTTGTTAACTACAAAATAATTTGCAAATTTTTGAGATTTTGATAAATGTTGAAAACATTTGAACTTCAAATAAAAAAAAATAAAAAATTTTAAGAATTATTTAGACAGACACTAATAAAAAATAACACACATCATTGTAAAATCAATACTTATATTCATCGCTCCATTCAGAACCTTAAAACATTAATATACCTACTGCTTACAACTATAGAAAAAATTGGGGTACGTATATTATTATTATGGCCTGTTCTGGTGAAATCGATTATATATTGGTGGAATGGATGGGTCCTATTATAATTCTTTAATTATTTTATAAACAAGCAATAAACATAGTGGGTATTTACTAAATAACAATTTAATCTAGCAAATGTTTTATACCAATTAATTATAAATAATAATATCAATTTATAAAATAGATCAACATTATTTTTGTTTCTATTATATTTTAAACAATTTTGAACACTCAAAATCTCACTGTTAAATAAATATTAGTTTGAGCGTATTGCGAAAACGGGATTTGCCGTAAGATAATATTTTATACAGAAAAGTATAGTATAAGCTATCAAAAGATGCAATTCAAATTTATTATAACGAATAATTATTCTAAGAAATATTGAAATCTTTGTGAAGATATATAGGATACAAAGATAAAATTTAAAAATCTAGAAAAAAAACCGCAAGCGTATTATACAGAAACGAAATAATTTCAATGTACAAAGAAGCGTTCGTCATTATATCATTATTTATTTATGTATACATATATACTAAAGCTTCGAAGGCATAAGTACTGTACAGATTCTGATAATGGACAATGTATTAAGATTTTAAGGCATAAGAAAATAGTATTATCCATAGTTATAGTGGCATGAAATTTAGTTTTAAAAGTTTGAGGTTTTCTTGAATAAAAGTAAGGAATTGCTGATGATAATATTTAGATAGTAAATCTGGAGCATTTCAATATCATTATTCAATTATTTATAAACAAATTTGATATCAAACTCAACACGGTTGAGTCGAACTGACTCTATCAGTTACAGATTTAAAATGATATGAGCGTACAACAGTGGTGACGAAATAAGCTGAGAATTTTTTTTTGTACTTATTACTTAATGATTATATTATTATCATTACAGGACGGATTAAATATGAGCACTGCTGACGGACACATATTATTATTTCTATTCCCGCCACGATCGAATGTATTATACTCTCCTTGCGGCATATATAGGTACAATATTTATATACTATAATATTACTATATTGTATTGAATAATAAGCTCCGAGTAAAAGTAAATACGACGTCAGTACGAGTATGTATAGCGCGGTCGTGTGCGCATTTGTGGACAATTATTATAGTATACTCGGTGTAATCGTAAATTCGCGATAAATCACGTTATCCAATAAAATATACGCGCGGATAACGCGAATATTGTAATCGTGACAACAGCTCGTCGTTTTAAAACCATACATTTACTATAGAACAGACTTGCGGTCAGTATCTGTCCTTTATAATTGAACAGATATTGATAAACAATTAATGATTAATAATAATAATGCCAACGCGAGACTGTGCAAACTGATAATATATATGAATTGAATACATTTTATTGTTTTTGGGGGTCGATTTTTGACTTTCAAATATTTCCAATATCGAATAGAGCAAAATTTTTTCCATACATTTTGCTCAAATCCAAAGGGCAGATTTGTTAATCACCGCCCATGGACATGTTATATTAATTGTCACGTTTCCTCCAATTTTTTGATTGCTCATTACTGGCGCGTGTTAAACGAAAGAAGAATTTATTGTACATTCAATACTAACACACTGTTACAATTGTGAGTACGACATTTACCATTTATTTTCTATTTATTTTGTACAAACAAAATACTCTCAAATGATAACTTATGGGGAGCGGGGGGTTTACCATGCCCATGATTTGAAAATGTTGTCAAAGGTCTGGAGGGAAAGGGATTTCATATAGTCGTTATAGGTCTATGACTGTATAACACTCATGCATGATGCACGCTGATTGTTATTTTCGTTAATAATAAATAAGGATATATTTGGGTGTGGTCCTCCCCATTGTTCGACCCCCCCCCCCTCGCCCAATGCAATATTGTTATTATTGGCTAAACCGAGTGGATCTAGACAGGCGTAACGCAAACAATGTGTGACAAAGGCACGTACCTTGACTGGATGATGGTAAGCTGCGGCAACGGCTTCCGGTGTGTCGCGTGTGGCCACCGCCGTCGAGTCCGAAGTCTCGGGTGGCGGTCTCCTCGACGACGGCGGAGGCGGTGGCCGCCTGTGACGTTTGCCATGGTGATGCAGGTGATGGTGATGATGGTGACGGTGGTGGTGCCGGTAGTGGCGGACATCGTCGGTGGCTGTCCCGGCGGTGGCGACCGAGTCCAACGACATCGGCGGCGGTGGAAGCGGTGGAGGCGGCGGAGGCGGTCCGAGGAGATGTGACCCGGTCGGCGGCGCGTCTGCCGTCGACGGTGCTACCGCCGCCGCCACCGCTACCGCCGCCGCCGCTCTCGCGCTCAGCCGCGCGCCCTCGCCAGAGGTCAACAACCGGTTTAGTGTGTGTATAATATTATAATGGTTCGCCGTCGCCCGCGCAAATTATATTTATTATAAATAAATAAAAAGTAATGAGCGACTTGCGCCTCGCACGGACGTTGTTATTATTATTTATTATCGGCAACTATGCAGCGGTTCGCGCCGGAGAGTCGCGGCCGCCGAACGGTATTCGAAACGGTATCGCGCGAACAAAAACACACCCCTCGGTGATCACGTAAAAAAATGGCACGGCGTATCGTAAAAAAATTTGATATCGAACACGGACGATCGTTGTCAATAAAAAATTTAAATAAAAAAAAAATCTCGCCACTCTGTTGAGTCGTAGGTGATGGTAATAGGCGATACGGTATTGTATTTGTTGTGTGCGCACACGTCGCGCGTTCAGACTGTACTGGGACCGGTGCAGACATGGTCCGGGCGACTCGTCGACGCCGCAACGGTCCCCCGAGAGTGTGTGAGAGAGAGTGAGAGTGAGAGAGAGAGGATGAGTGAGAGTGAGAGAGGAACCGGTCGTCGTTGTCGTCGGCGTCGTCGTCGTAGCAGCAACGGCACCGAACTTATACAACGATACATTAAAAAACGTTCTTTTTAAACTTAACGTGCATTGGCAAAATCTATACTATTAGCCGTTATCGCATAAACAGAAGATCGAAAAATCAATGGACTTCATTAGTATTTAAAATCGTTTTGAGCATATCTGTATAGGTACCTAACAGAACTATACAAACAATTTATTTTTTAGTTCATTAAACTGAACTATTTTTCGTAAAAAAAAATATATATTTCCGATATTGTTTTGGCTACTATTGTATACATGGTATGGATTTTTTTTCATTCATGGTACAGCTTCAACTGCTAAGGTTATTAGATTGCAACAAAAAATAAGAGCATTTGCTTGCATAATATAGAAAAACAATATTTCCTTAAATTAGGTTGTACATATCAATTTTTTTTTAGAAATGTAATTATTTTATTGGTGTTGTAATATGCTGGACTGAGGGCTTCGAAGAGGTTGACTGGCAAATCTAGACTTTTTCTGGCATTTATATGATTACGACAGTGGACAAGGAGGTGCTTGACTGTGACAGGTTTGGCACATTACAGGTTCTTCTCTGCACATAAGATGTCCATGGGACATCTCTGAGTGACCTATACATAGTCTATTGATAACTACTTCATCCTTGCGCTTTGAAGTATAGGGTTTGGGCCAGTATACGGTAGTATTTTTTATTTCTCTTAATTTGTTATTTGGGTACGCCGCCATTTGGATTCCCATAAATTGGTACAAAAGGTGCTAACATTCCTGTGGATGACTATGAGTGAGGAGTATGTCCGTATTTCGGTCAGAGGGTTATTAACTGCTTCACGATCTACTTTGTTAGCTTTCTCATAGCAATATATTCTACAGTAGCCTGGTGTCCATATAAACCGTATGTTCTTGTTGGATTTTTCAATGATTTTGCTTATTTTAATTGCTAGGATGTTTGAGTGCAAATTATACTTCAGATTGTTAAGAGCGCTGAGCGAATCTGTACAAATAGGTATGGATCTTATAATTACAAAATATAAAAACTTAGCCCAAATTTTTATTAATCATTTCAGAGTATCATTAAATGTATTATAAGAACGGAAGAACACCTGTAGTAATTCCTGTAAAAATGTAGCCTTCTGCCTTTTGAAAAATATTAAACTACATAAGTACCTATTGCATAGGGTTGTCACACGCCCCAGTCTTGCCGGGACAGTGCCATTTTTTGTCACGAAAAAGCGGTTTGGTACACTCAATTTTTCCGGAATTGAAGTCCAACCATTTAAGTTAACATTTTGTCTTTTACTAAAAACCTTTAGAAGAAAAGAAAATTGTTTCGATGAATGATAAAATAATCAAGTTTATCACACGATTGACTGACGAAATCTAGTAGTAACTCTTTAACCTATTGGGCAATTATTGAAAAATATTCTAAATAATAATTAAATCGATAAAATATATTATATGAACTGTCTATATTTCATAGACGTTATACAGGGACATATTACATTAAGTAATGTAATGGTACTAAATATTTATATGAAATCGTAATGTGATTTTTGATATCCATAATACTAGTGTTACAATGAATATGCAGAAGACATATATTTTTATCACACAATTAAAAACACGGCGTACTGTATAGGCAATCGTAACAATTTTTTATTTTAATATACACCAATACACCAATATTGTGTATTAATAAGCAGTATGAAATAATTTAATGATATAATTATATAAATGCACTCATAACATTTTTTAGAGCAAAGATTAAAATATAAATATAAATAAAAAAGTGCTTAAATTCGCTAAAAAATTTCAAAAAACCAGTGGTATCTATTTGTAAAATATCGAAAAATCTCGGAAAACAGAGCTCTATAGGGCCTTTCAGTACATGTTCAAACTTTTATGGCCATATAATAAGTAGTGAGATATTCGCTTACACCATTGACCGGATAATCATAAGATTTTATGACTTTGAGTTCCAAAGGGTATCAAAAGAACTATAATTTTGTCTTCTATCTGTCATCTTTAGCTATAAAATAATAATAAAATATAAAAATCGATAAATAAACATCTCATACTGACATACCTAATGTCCTAATCTACTAGGAGAATTTATACATCCATACCTCAAATCAATTGACAACACCATCAACTTCCTAAAAGAAATATAAATTTTTAACAACTTAATATAAACATTAACTATAATCTTAAAAAAAGGAAAATGTAAATACAATTAAATTAGAACTAATGGCTGGAGTAGTCGAATGTTATTATAATCAATAATAATAAAAAAATAAAAAATAAAATATTTCAAGCATTTATAAAAATCTGTACCTTTTTTAGTACAAATAAAACATTTTTCAGCTATATAAGCTATTATAAATCAATTATTAACTAATAAAACTCAACTATAATAGAGTAATAATTATTAATGGACGTAAAGTAAATAATTATCGTAGAATCGTAGCTTATCATACAGTTGTGAATTGAAATAAAATGTACCATTATATCGCTGAGTTCGTAGTTAATAGTTCGAGGGACGTTTAAAGGCATTTAGCTGAGTAATTCAGGACATACAATTAAAGAATTAAGTAATTTGTATAACCAAGTAACATCATGCAATTTTCTCTTTTTTTCTTGATATTAGATACCACACTCTCTACCTAGTTGCTCAAGCGAAACGTCGGCTTCGATGGTCTTAAGTACCAGTATATAGGTACTCTCAGAAATCAATTTTTAATGAGTACTATTTCATTAATGGATCTAGTTTGATGAGAATTCCATATAATCCAACAAAATCCTGGTATGAAACGGACTAGAGTGGAATATAACATTTAAAAAAAATTATGACTTTTAAATTCTGATCAATTACGTCTTATAAAACCGAATACTCGAAGTTCTTTATTACACAATATCATAGTTATGTGATTGTTAATAAATTATGATAGAATAGGTACCTAGGTCGGTTATATCTCTTATCTGGGTACACTTATTCTGAGTTATCAATTTTATTTTTTTTATAATACAAATGTGTATTTGTTTAACTTCGCTGAAATTTATGTGAATTTCTCTGCAACTAACATTCAAATTATTTGACTAACAATATATGGATAAAAGTTATCCAAATAGCCAAATCCAATTATAATTTAAAGTTTTCGTGTAAATAAATAGGTTTGCCGGCAATAAGTCATCCGCGAACATTAAGAAGTGACTGTTTTAGAAGGTAATCTTTATTAACGTCGTTCATAAATAGTTGAATTATAATTCGTATAATGAAAACTGTGCACACACAATATAATATCGAACGATAGCTGCAAACAATGTAGTGATACCTATCTATAATATTATGAAAATTATAGATAATAAAAGCATGGATAGGACATAACGTCTTATCGAGGTTGACCTTCCAATATTGAGGCCAAACAAGTGTAGTATCGACTCTAAGCATAATATAATAATATATTTTATCATATTATACAAACATGTAAGCAACTTGTTATCACTTCACGACAGCAAAAATATAATGGCTTCAATTTGTAATGTCCTACCCAAGTTTTTTTTTTATCTATAATGCAAATCGACTATCAGTATAGGTACATAATATTATCATACACTAAATATACAAGTGTTTTTAATCTATGATATTATTCGGTACATCAATATTGTACATTAATATTATTCATGGAAGGTAAAAAAATATTGCATATTATATGAATTTCCGAGACCGCAACCGATATCGTGGATTATACCTAAGGCAGCGGGTGACTATGTGTAAGATTTACATTTTAAATGCCACTACTTTTGCTACCGGTTTAAATAAAAAAAAGAAGACAATAAATTGTTGGGACGATTTACGACGCTCTTATCGCTTGAATCTCATCGTCGATCACGTTTATCTCTGAGCGACAAATCCAGTAAATCATGTTTAACTTTAAATATTTTATATTTATTATGAATCATGATAAATATATAATATATATAATATGAGAAGGAGAGTATATCGCCCGCGTCCATCGTACCTATATTAAGCAGAGTGTACGACGTACGATACTTTATAGTATACCTACTGCGATCGCTTAACGTCAATGTAAATCCCCAGGACACACACAGTGGTTGAAATGGTGGGATGCCATCCCTTCTCTTTTTTTAATTAAACTTTACCATCCCCCTGTTTGTTTTATTTAAAGTCATTCGTTCTTATTAGATTTTGTAAAATTAATCGGATTCAGAATTTGTATTTGTAATAAACGATATTGACTAATTCGCTTACATCAAAATATTATCTTTAAATAATCTTAAAAAACTTTGTTTTTTCAAAACTAAAAATATTTGACATCGAAAATCAGAATATGAAAACGTTACATTAAGATATAATTTCACAACACCTAATTACCTTAAAATATTATTACTATAGATAATCACTAATCATTAATAACTGAGTTAGACTACAGCGGGGATAACATCGATAACATCTGTACTGGGGCTTAGAATATTGCAACAAATTTCAATCAGAACAATAGTGTCTACCTTTATAAAAGTTTTTTTTACTATATTTTACTAGGTATATATTATTATATTACAATTGTCGATTTATCTTGGACCTAAGTTGCGTAATATAGTTTGTCCGCGCTAGGTGAGTTATTTGCCATTTTTTTTTCTTTTTTAATATGAAATCTTTATTTATTTTGTTTATTGAAACGATTTGAATTTTTTAATTTACCTTGAAAAAATGTTTACTTTAGTTTAGAAATCAATCTGATAAAATAAACTGAATTTATTTTGTTCAAATATTAAAAATATAACTCAAAGTTCCCCAATATTTAATAGCACAAAGCGATGGATTTTATCTAATGTTTTCCAGCTGCAGAGTGAAAAAAAATACATAGAACACATTAATCCATCGGAGAAATCGGTCTGATTTATAACACTGCAGTTAAATCCCGATTCCGGATAGGTCTATATATAGTACCTAATCCCTTTTTATCCAAGGATTAGGTACAAGAATATTATTTTCAATTTGGATCGACTTTTTGTGCGTGGCTTAAGCCGTACATGACAATATTCTGCATGCATATTATTATATTGTCAGCGAAACACGAATACGCATTTAGTGGATTTAATAAATAGGTACGAGTGTGCCGGGTGGAACGGTTTATAGCAGGATAAAAATGAATTTGATGGTATTAGACTACAATTATATAGGAGTTCGGTGATTTTGGTTCAAATTACAAATGAGATCTTTATTTAAAATTATAAAACACAACATAATATCTAAGTATCAATAATAATATCGTAAATACAACGGACACTATAATTAATTATTATGTATATTGTTCATATTGATTATTATATCTGTAGTAAATGCTATCTACATAATATTGTGGTGAACGAGGGAAACAACGACGTCTTATCTCCCGATTTCTTCGGGCAGTACACCTATGGCGTGCACAAAATACTCGCCATACTATCACTAAATATAATGTTATAATTTATATGACTAAACATACTGTCGTTTAATAATATTATGTTTCTTAAAATAATATTATAAATATGCGCACACGTAATTTTAATATGTATATAAAAAGAACATGAAGGTATGTAAATATCTTATATTATAATAATATATATTATATAAAACGTTATTTAATGAGTATAAAAAAAAATAATAATAATAATAAAAATAAAACAAACAGAAAGTATAGTACAAAAGGTTGTATGAAAATAATGTAGAAAAGCCCAAACTATAAAAAAAAAATTATAAACGTATCATATAGCACCAAGGATAACAACAGTCTGTCGAAGGGAATCGTGAAAACAAAATGGATCGATTGAAATAACGAGTCGTAATCGGAGTTGGTTGGGTTATATATCTTGTAAAAAAAAAAAATTATACAAATATAGATATTGATACAATAGTAATATTATGGGCTAGATTTCTCTCCCTCGCTCGTAAAAAAAACCTGTGACAAATCCCGACAAAAGTCGAGTTTGGGCGGAAATCGTTTATCGACGGAAAATCCTCGGATTCCGGTAAGTGCCTACCGTTAGGAGTGTCTTTTTTTTTACACTTCAGCTAACAACGTTATATTACTGTAATTATTATTGTCTCTCAAAACGTAAACGGACATTCCACTGTCGATGTATATGAACAATAATTATAATAATCTGTTTAAAATAAAGTCGAATACGATATAATAATATATGACGAATAATAGTACATTATAATATATGATACGATATTTTCACAACGTAAGTTTATGCACTTTGTTGTGTACAAATAATTGTGTCCCGTTTCCCTGCGCTCGCTCGAAACTGTCTTTGGCGACAAGGACGGAGTCTTTTTTTCACTCTACTCTACGTACACCTACGTATTAGTTTGTCGTTCAGTCTATCGGGTGATAAATTTAAAAAAAAAAAAAAAACATATTTGGTAAGCTCAACGCGACAAATTCGATTGGGTCGTTTGGAGGTAAACATATATATTATTTTATATTCATATAATATGTATTATTATATATTATATACGGGTCTTACATTATGCGTTAAAATATGTTTATAGTGTCGTTTGTCACTGTTCAATAATTAAGGTATATAACATATAGTTGACAAATGATATTCAATAGTAATATTAAATAATGATACGTAATTTATTTATAGTTAAATATTATATAATAGTAATAATTCCAAAACTATAGTGTCGATTAAACACGCCTACTATACATACATAATACATGGATAACGGGGCAGAAGAGGGGGACTAGAACGTTTTAATTACCTATTCAGGAATGGTAGGAGGGGGTCGGTTGGCTGACTGTTCCGCACGGAGGTAGAATAAGAGGTCGTCGGAGTAGTGGAAACGACCCGTATAGTTAGTACCTTTATACAATTCGAAATTCATATTTAGTCGAACTGTTTTCGAAAAAGCAGCTGGATGCTGTACATCCCTCCACACCCCGGGGGCGTCTTTTTATTTTATCCTCTACGATAATAATTCTTACAGTATTATAATAAATATAGGGGCTCGCGGCCTAATATTATTGGCCGTACGACTGTTGCTGGTGCTGCTGGAACAGCCTGACGCCGTTGTGGTGCGTGGGTATTGTCGAGTGGTTCCGCGACCGGACGGCCGACGTTTTGGTGACGCCGACGCCGACGCCGCCGCCATTGTACGACGACGACCACTGCCGTTGGTGCTGTTGATAGTTGTTCTGGTTCTGCTGCTGTTGCTGCTGATGGTTCTTCTGCTGCTGGTACTGGTGGTAGTGCGACGACGCCATGACGTGGTTACCGGTCGTCGTGTGCGGAGGGGGTGGCGGCGCGACGTTATGTGGCATCGTCCTCCAGCCGGGCACCGAGCCGGGCCGATTCCGGGCGCCCCGAGGTTCCGTGAACGAGCTGAGCGACACGTTCGTGGGCCTGGTGCACGGATCCGGAGGTATCCGAGCCTTGGCCCCCGGGCCGCCCTTGTGTCGGATCACCACCGTGTCCACTGTCTGCAGGTCCGCATAACTGGCCCGGCGCCGCTGTTCGTCGTCCGTCGGAGACAGTGTGGATGTGGACGCAGCCGGCGACAACTGCAGCGGGGGTGGAGGCGGCGGCAGCGGCATCGTGGCCGCAGTGTCGTGGCTGCTGTTGGAGTGCACGCCGCTGGACGACTCGCTGTGGCCGCTGCACGCGGCCTGCGGCGAGTGGCCGGTCGCGGATGCCTCCGACTCAGACTTTACGGTGTCCTCCTCCTCGAAATCGTCGGCAACCGTCACCGACGCAGGGCCACCCACGCGCTGTGGTCCCTGCTGGCCTGCCACTATCGTCTTGCTGTATAAGCCACCACGATACGCGTGATCGCGCACTTGTTGATGTTGCTTGGACACCTGTAACAAAAACGGTTATAACAAATTAATATGATTATAATATTATTACATGCGTCTGCGATTCATAGAATTACTATTGAGTATAAAATAGCTGATATTTTATTCATATAATATTTTTTTAATGATAACTAATAAGACTTTTTCGACTGTGGTTACTTTTTTGTTCTGTGACGATACTGACTTCTCATACAGTCACTAACTACAAATCAGTTCTAAAATCCTAGAAATGTATTGAACAATTGAAGTGATGAACGAATAAAATGATCTGCCTGTTGTGATTTTCCAAGTTATTTATTACTGTACCGGTAACAAGTTGCACCCGTAAAAGATCCTTCTCAAAGCTAAATATTGTTAAAGCAAAGTCGTTAAGTACTATTGGTCAAGAAAGATTATAGATATACTCTTATTGAACAGATCAAGAATATAGTGGCATAAGAAGCCATAAAAGTTTTCAAAACATTAATCCCTACCGTCAAAAGACCCACGAAACTTAAACGAAATATATTTTAAAAGCGTCAAAGTGCCTTCACTGGTTGGTATCTTTTCCTCAGTCCACTCAAGCTGCCTCATTATAATTAAATAAAAACACATCACTTATGCTTCTTATACGAGGACTATGTTTTTAATGTTGTATATATTGTATAATTTATAAACTAAGAAAAATATATATATTTTAAAAGTTAGATATTTAAATTATATTTTCTATTTCATTAATTTTTATGACATTAGTATTGTTAAAAAATACATATTGAAAACTGTTGAAGTATTTGAGTGTTTAGCCCAATTGTATGCCGAGTCCGTATAGACCAAAATATTAAGGTTAAATAGAACTGCAACAGCGGAGGAGGTGGTTTCCAGCCTGAACTCTTCAGCAACGGTATAAATTATTACTCTGAATGTCTGATGCTAGACCAGAAAATGGTTGAGTTAAAATATTTTCTTCGATCAGCCGATATCAACAATATCTTAAACAATCTGTAAGATACGCATTATTTCGATGAGGAGGATGTCCAACATAACCGTAAACGAACGAGCGTCCACTCTGAGGAAACTACGTATATTTAAGTTAGGTTGTCAGGTATGCGATTATTTAATAACTCCGAGATTACAGGGCGAAGTCATCTGTTTGTTGCGGAGGACGTCACTGAAACTTTTTAATAGCCGTTTTCTGTGTACACACAGGCAAAACGCAAAGGCTTTGCCGCGAAGGAAATACGGACGAAAATGGGCGTTCAATTAAACAGACTAACTTTTTAAGCTCGACAACAGGAGGGATGTACGTGCGGGAATAATGGCAACTTTCGAGACGATAAAAATTAAGCTCGTCCTGTCACCGAAATATAAGCGTGGATATTGCGATAGTGTAATATACAGCCACTGAAAGATGATCCTACTCAATGCAGTGACACTCACCTCACCGCCAACAGATGCTATCTATAGAGCACAAAAACAAATATTATAATATCTAGTTTTCATTTCATTGGTTGTCAGCTTAAAATTGTTAATTCGATTCCAACATGTATCGGGCTTACTGTGAGCTATACTATCCACTTTCAGAGTTAAATTATGTCCGCACACATTCAAATATTGGAATATTATTAATATATTAATATATGTTAGACATGTTAATATTAACCCCAATAATTTCCAAAAGTATGTCTATTTTATAGCCAACATTCTTTATCCGCTCAAAGTGGTTAATAGATAATTAATATAGATTATCGTAGTATTGTTTGTTTAATTTATATAGTTCTCCTATCAATCATTGATTATCTACAAATGGTGGAGTATTTTGAGGCAGGGGGTGAGAGATGATTCGATTAGTGTAATCACTCACTTCCCTCAATCACTCCCTCCTGGTCGATCAACATATCATTATACCTGAATAAATTTGTTATTTAATTCATTAATTGATCTACAAGTATACATTAAAGATGTTGATATATTCATTTTTGACTACTAATTATCTTTTGTCCAGAAATTTCCAAACTATAACATTTTTTCAAAAATACTGCAGCTGAATGTTTGCGAGTGAAGAATGTATTTATAAATTCTCAGTGTAGCGCTCACGAGTCAGTCGAACCACTATACACAACGATGCGTGTATACAACCCAACGCTGAAATATATATATATATATATAGAATTCAGCATTAACACAAAACTTCCGAGATTCAGAAAGTTTTAGGAGGATTATATGCGCGAGGGAATATACATTATACATATATATATATTTATTTATTGTATGTGTGCATGCACGCGCGTGTTGCCTGCATGTTGACGAATAAAATGATAAGTTTACACTCAACCGATTTAAAGCCGGTCAACGGATATAATAAATCGTGTTACTTGATAAATGTCTAAATCCACTTACTATATAATGTAATAATCTAAAATATAGCAAAATGTCAGACTAAATATAGACGAGTGCTTCGGGATAATATCGGTGGTGTGTATAATATTATCTGTATTGTCAAGCCATCTCTTTTAAAAAATGTTCTGGTCATGAAATGGAATTGCTGCTAATTACTCATTTCAATGTGTGCAAATGCGTAGACACAGGTAATACACATTGTATTCCTATACAATACACCTATATTCATTCGATTAAGCGTCCGTATCATGTGCAAAACAAATTTCAGCACGATATACTATGGATACATCCACAATATTACGAGGGATTCGAAAATCAATGAGTAATTAATGTCATAGGTGCGTAATCGATTAATATTAAACGAATTATATTTTATAACTATAAAATATATAATGCTTTTATTATTACTGGACTCAATAATAATAAGGCAAATGTATCGGTTTCGTTACGCGTATTGGAATTCGGATCAGCTTTTGTTTGGCTTATAATAAGATATGTATATAATGTAATTATTAATTACAAATGTTTTCATAAGCAAATAAACCACCAGTTATGATAAAATAGACCAAAGTGATAAAATGTCATGGTCGCAATCAAAGCATATTATATCGAAATGAAAAAAAACAAACAATATCAACACATTGAAAGCTAATAAAACGACATTTCTCGTGTTGGTGGGCTTAGTAATGTTGATAACTCGCTAAGTTAAAGTATTTAATAATAATTTAACTTGTTGGTATTATTTTGTAATATCTTATTACATCGTGACATTCGTAACACACAGATATTTTTATTAGATTTTTTACTCTTTTCTTTTCTTTTCATCTTTATTTTACTAATTTAAATTAATTGTTTACACATTATAGTTTGACAAGTATATAATGACGAGTTAATTTTAACTTAAAACCGGCAGTAAGTCTCATGAATGTTGCAGGTATATTTTATTGCTACTAATTTATGTTGACGCTCCCCTCACTCTTGACAGAAGTCGAATACACAAAATCATTTGAAAAAAGAAACGGTTAGTTTAAGTTAATAAGATACTTTTATTTTTAATTAGCAAAGTTATTTTAAAATGTAATTATAAGTTATAACTGTCAACTTTTAATTTGTTTAATTTTCGTTTTATATTTTTTTAACTTAACTAAACTTTAAATTATTCATTAGCTTGTCAGGCACAGCGTTTTATTTGATTGTATCGGGTACAAAGATAAATAATTGTACCCAACAACGGATTCGACCGTTTGTTTCTATTTTATCGTCGAAAATGGTATACTATACTATTATGTACTCACTTGGGTTTTGCTGGCGTGGAATTCCGCAGCTGAACTTATGTCTTCCTGGATGGGTGGTGGCGGGGGTGGTGGAGTGGCCGGCGAGTAAAACAACTCTCTTGTGTTGGCGCTGGCGTACGTAATTACACCTTCCCGTACCGTGTCCAAAAGCTGTATGAGAAAATCCGGTAAATTACACAATCGCATTTGGCCCAAAGTTGTATAAGATTAGTAGTACTAGGTACTATCTAGTACTATCTAGATTTTTAAGGTTAAAATTAATTTTTTTCAATGTTATAAGAAACCCAAATGGAACCAAACTTAAAAATATGTTGTACTTAAACCTTAACTAAATCAAATAATTCAAACTGTCTCAAAAACTGTGACTTGTACAGAACTTAATAAAATACTTTTATTACATTTTAAAAGCTTAATATTATTAATTACCTACCTAATGAAATAAAAATGATGTAGAAACAAAACGGTTAGGCTTTGATGTAATAGGTGTGAATATAAATAAAATTACGTTTTTCTACAGCTCTTTGAAAACACTGCTAAGAATGAAAAAAAAAAATATTTAATACAGAATTGTTGATAACTATGCAAGCTACTGTTTTTTTTATTTATCGTACGATCGAAGAAAGACGAGACATTTAATGTCACTTTTAAACTTGTCGTTTACACGAAAGAAATTTGGAACTCTGTCTGCTATAAATATAATGCAAAATAAACAGGAAACGCAATTTATATTTGAAGAGACATGCAATCCAAACAAAAACTTCAGAGCAGAACAACATATCATTATAATATACGGGGTGTCTTGCCGCTCGCTCGTCCACGACAGTAACTTTTTATTCTAATTAATATTGTTGTGACATTTTGAGTACACTTGACGGTGTTTGGAGTCGGTAAAGTCAAAAAATCCGAAACCAGAATCCATATTTGCTCTTCATACGAATTTGCTGCTTGCATTAACGGGACTATACAATACAGTTATAAAATGTTAAAAGTCGAACGGAATAGAACTGCATATACAAGACACTATTATTATTATTGGTGGATTCACACCACAAGTATTGTTAAACACCCCGTAGAGTATTGGCAGACACGCAAACGATACGAGAGGCGGGTTTCGATCACGAACAACGATTTTTTATTCTTACCTTCGTGTCTTCGGACGTATTGTCGTCGCTGTGGTCGTTCGTAGCCCTAGCTACCATCGGCAATTCTCGGAGCTTTGCATAATCACCATCGTCCTCTGGACTGACTCCCCTTCGGTCGATTTTGTCCATTGGTATGCCTCTGTGACAAAAAACAAATATTTATATTAAATTCAACAATATGAGTTCGATCGAACATATAGGTAGGTATTGGTATACATGCATTATACAGTATACCGAAAGTCGTGGTGCTTCGAATTCGACCTAAGATGATTATTTTAAAACTCATTCTAATAAATTATTTTTGAAAGTAAATAATATTTTTTTAAACAATTCAAGTTGAATAACAATTTGCAATTCTTAGGTATTATGTGGGTATTGCCTTTATTTTCACCCTTTTGTTGTTTGTTCAAATCATTAAGACTATCGATTTTGGTCTTTAAGATGTATTTAAAACTGAACAGATATCGAATATATTGTTATATAAACATATTGTTTTATTAATTAGCAGTTAAAGTTTAAAGGATAGAATTAGTTGTAAATCACGCACAGTATGAGATTCTTTCATTGCCATTTTCCACGCACACTATTTTAATTTTAACTTAGTTTAAATACTTTTATCTACGAGAAAAATATCATTTAAATATTTGATATTTGTTCTTAAAAATATTTACAAAATTACTCGACTTTAGACTATAAAACCAAGTATATAGATTGATTTCTACTAAGTGTAGTTACAACTCAAATAATCAAATAATCACACGTTAAATGATTAAATGACAAAGAGTGCAATATTCATTTGGCAGAACTGCATATTGTAATTACAGTTTAAATACTTACTAAAAAATATTTTTAAAATGTTGAAGATTTAATATTTCTTAAAATAGTTAACATTTGCCGTTAAAAAATTACCCTGTATAAGAATACGAGTACGTTATTATTAATTTAGGTATAATGAACTTGAATAAAACGACAATTGTATCCCAAGAAAAACGTAGGTGGCACGTCGTAGATATCAAATGATTAAGATAAAAACATTTTTTTTTTGTCTACGCTACACAAGACGATTATTCTCTTTGACAAGTTATTTTTGGCATTGTTTTCGTATGCCGTCATTCATTGTTAAAAGTCATTGTAATTAATACGTAGGTGCGTTCAGAAGAGAACTACCATCGTTTCTCATTAAATACAATTGACAATACGTGTGACTGTTTCGTTACACTGAAGGTTCTTAATTGATGTTTTGTAATAAAGCATAGTAAGCAATCTTCAGTTGGCTACCGTTTGAAAAAAACAAAGATGATCTCTTATGCCGCAGGTTAACAATCATAACTTTACTAGGACAGTAAGACAGTAATAATTATAATAATTATGAAAATTATTTGTAATTATTCTCATTTGTTATCTGAAACTCTGAACTGTTTAAGGCAGAACAAACGAGTATTGATTATCGGGAAAGGCGGTATGGATGCTATATTTTAAAATTTAAACGAAAAGACATTTTTAATCACTTAGGTAGTTATTCTAAGTGGTTTTTAGAAAGAATTCACCTTCAATACACTTACTTCGTAGATTTCTTTGTCCGTTTACAACCAAAACAGCCAGACGGCTCGTCCGAGTCTTCCATTTCGCTTAAACAACTGCGGCCTGAACTCGACTTTGGTCTAGGCCAGTATATCTGTTCATCACTCATTGTCTTTGGAGTTCTTTTAAGTTTGTGTTTATCTGAAATAAGAGTAGTATTATTTAATAATAATATTAAAATAATTCAATCGGCCATGGGTTGAACTAGTACATGGTGAGAAGCAAAGATTAACCCCGAACGTTCCGGATTTTATAATTTTATATAGCCAATCACATTATTAAATTATTTAATTCATCCATTATATAATTTAATATATTAAACGGCATTACATTTTTAATAACATAATGTTTATAGGAGTGCATATATATATGTAATTATTGCACTATGTGCATAACACTTTATATAATGATTAAACTAATAAATAATAAATGTTAATTTTAAATGATATTATTTATTTGTAATGCATGCATGTACAGAAAAAAACCTGAAAAGTCGCTATGCTGAATAGTTCGTTGATGTTTCAAACGTGTATTTATATTATCTTCGGGAGATATTTTTGATTGTTATTAAAAGCTTCATAAATTAAATTATTAATGAAATTCAATAAGTCATTTTTTGTAGATTTTACAAAGTTATTACCTACTAATATATTTTTTTGTCTTAATACTTCATAAATTAACCATTGGCTGAAGTCACACTACTGTCTATACTAGTGAAAATATATTGAAAACATTTTTTCCATATCAACTTTCAACTTATCGAGTTAAATGTATGGTCTGTTAACTGCGTGAACTTCTAATTTATCGATTTTGTCTTCTCTTATAACTTAAATCGAATCAATTACTTTTATTAACTTGCCCAACTTTGGTAGTAGTAGTAGTAGTATACGCAGAGAGATAATAATAATATCTTTGTGCAGGCTTACCCGAGTTCGCAGCGACGCGCGTGTAGTCGGCCACTACGCGTTCCACCACGGACGTGACGATGCGCTTGGCCGTCTTCTCGGTCAGCGAATAAGTGGCCCCTTGGGCCACCACCAGCAAGGGCACGCGCTGGGCGTCGTCACCTCCGCCGCCTCCACCAGCCGCACCGCCGCCAGGACCACTGCACCCGCCGCCCCTGGGGTCGTACTCCAGGAACAGGTGCAGATTGAACACCCAGCAGGGCTTGAGCGTGAGCACGGACCACATGGCTATCCAGACGAACACGTGCGCGGTGGAGTTCAGCAGACAAGCCAACACAACGCCGTTGAGGGACGACCGGAACACGACGATGGCGTTGTACAGCAGAGGGCTCTCGGACGCGACGACGGCGAGCAGGGCCAGCACGCTGGCGCAGTAAGGCATCAGGCTCGAGTAGGCATCGGCCACGGTCTTCCGGCCGCCGGTCTGCCGCTTCACGAACCCGCTGAATCGCGTGTACCCGTAGTAGTACACTATTGAGTTGGACACGAATATCAGAACGGTGGTGACGGTGAACAGCACAGCGGTGTCCAGGTGATCCAGCACCAGGTGGTAAGTGGTGGGCCCAGCCGGTAGTTCCTTCACCATTTTGCAGACGCCCAACACTTGCATCTGCGGCACGGCAAAGTAATAATAAGAATCATAGTAATAATGCGTTTATAATGATTTTAAAATGATTTTTTCGTCACGCCTACACCACAAAGTTGAATTGTTTATGCCGGTTGAACAGTCAGACAAATTTAATTTTTCCGCTCAGTGCGTAAAAAGAGTGGAACACCTACCCGCTACTCAGCGGTTGCAAAGTTACTGTCCAAATAAGATTAATTTTCATGACGCTCGCGCTGTTCTGTTGAGAAATGTATAGGTAACGTGAGCAGCAAGAACAGTTCGTTCGTCGACGACAAGATGATCAGTACATCGATAGTCGTTTTCGGAGGTGGTGGAGGCTTGACATAAATAATGACGTGGAGGTCCGGGAGGAGAAACATTTTCAGTCTCGTGCAAATTGCATCAATCGTCCGCATCTCGTGCCGACATTGTCCACGCAGCTCACTTCTAGCCCTCACCTTATATACTACTGCAAGGGGTGAAACAACACGGGTCATGTGTACCCGGTATTAATTTTAATAGTCAAAGCAAGGATCCAGTGGGTTAGTCCACTATAATAGCCGTCAGTCTGACAGGTAAGAATCTAACTTTGTTAGTTTTAGATAAGGGATCACAGTAACGTGTACGTAATAGTGTATGATTAGTTCTGGAACCTCGGACACCGGACCCCTGAGATTTTAGAGGAAGATAATTATGACATTTCACAATATAATTAAATCTTCAATCTAAATGATTTTTATGCGTTATTACAGTTTTCTAGGTACTTATGTTGTTGACCCAAAATGTATTTTATAATTTGAGTTGATCACTGTTTTAATACCGACATAATATTATCGCTTATCACTTATCACTAATCACTTATATTGTGATAGTATATTACTAATTATATTATTATAAGGCGTATTTTTAACTAGATTTAAAAAGTTATTACAAATCCTATTGACTGACTCATACCTATTAAATGATATGGAACCTAAAATTATATAGAATAATGCCATAATGTGTACAGCTTTATTATTGTATAAATATTTAATAATTAATTAAGTTTCACTTTTGGTACCAGTTATAAAATGAGGTTGTTTAAATCTTGGAACAAAACACTTTTGAAAACCGAGCGACTTCTGCGAAAATCAGCTGGAATCCTCACTGGTACACCATTTCGAATTTTAACTGGTAGAAACTTTTGTTTTGAAGCCAGTTGCAATTTTCTACGTAGAATTTAAGGCCGACTTTGACGTGACCACATAGTTCTAAGGGTTAGATGCCAAATGCTAAAATGGTGGCTACAAATTAGTTATAACAAATGAGTAACGAAAAAGTTAAGGTCTGGAGTAGAAATTTGGAATGACTGGTGTCCAGCAGTGCAGCTGACCAAAATTAACTTGAAGGTAACCTTTGAAATCACATGAAACCCAAACCTTACCGAAACCGTTATTTTATTTATTTTTATATACTCAAATCAAGCTATTTTCATAATATTAATTATAAATGCAAATTTAAACGATTTAAGCCTAATTATTGTATAATTACAAAAATAAATACAGACTCGTACAATTGTTTTATTTGGAAATTCCGTTTGATATACCTAACCTCGATATCCACTAAACTTACAATACCATCCGATTTTATTATTATATTTTTATGCGTTTCTATTGTATATATAATAGTTATAATATACATTTTTATTATACATTTATTATTTATATACATTTTGAAATGGCGATATCTAAGTGTAATATTTTCTTACCTTGTAGAGGATGCATGTGAAGAGGTACAGTGACAGGCAATGTATAGCGTTGGCGAATAGCTGGACGGAGAATAAGGTGGCGAAACACTTGTTAGTTTCCCAAAAAACGGACGCATACCGTCCGCAATATATGAACAAAGCCATAGCGTAATTGAAAAATTCGATGGACATGCCCCCATCAGTGTCCGCAGCATCTGCGAATAGTTTGGGATTTAATCGGTATTGCATATTGGACATAGGCGATAGGACTATTATAGACGAGTGGAGTACTGATGGCCAGGTTAAATTTGGCGGATTATCCCTTGCCATTTTATTCCACTTGTCCAAACTTTAAATGCTTATTATTTATTGATAAAACAAATGGTTTGTTCGGCAATCGATATGTGTACAAAACTTTTAGGTAAGCAAACCGATGTGGCTTATAAATTAAAACAAGGAACGTCATTATAAAACTAAACTAATGACTATGCAAACAAATGTTGATCATTTATAGTGCAAAATACGTAATATGTATTAAGTACAAAAACACCGAAGTCATTATTAACACGTACCTGCTACGTTGGATTGGGATTATAAAATATTTTTGATTGTATAATGGCATCCTTAAAAATATCACTTTATTTTTGATAGTTAATGAATTAATGTGATTGAGTAATATATAATATAATATAACATAATACGAGGTTAGTATACGACTCGTATTGTATATTGTATATCGTACGTGGTATATCCAACTCGCTGTTATATGTGTATAATAATTTCAATAAAAAGTAGTAGTTAATAACTGGAATTATGAATCAAATGCAGTGATAAAAAATTGTAACCTAAGCGCCTATTATGCACTTATTCATAACGAATTGACAAAATATGCTAAATGTTTTATTTTTAAAATGCAATTGGAAATTATTTAAATAGTTAAAAAGTTGTAAAAATAATTTAAATACATTTTTGTCAAATTAGCCACTGTTATTGCTTAAGTACCTATTGTTCAATGTTTGTATTTGTTTTTTATTTCTATAATTTTAATACTTAGATTTTATAGTATTGTGAATTGTTCTGTTATGTATTAGCTTTAAATGTGTCATTAAAAAGGAATGTGTAATAATTTCTATTCATCTACAAAATACAAGTGCTATACGCAACATAACCTAACTATAGTTTTAGTGCATAGTTTTACATCAATTATGTCATTAATCACAATTTCAAACAAAATTCTAAAAATAGTATACATTGAAAATATGAATATTTTTCGGCTTAAAAGGTTTCATAATAACATAAACAGAATATAACATTGACCGCAATAATAGTTTTAAAGATTTCCAGTGAAATCATATTTTTTTTATCTAAAGAAAATAATTGTATTAGCTACTTAGTCATCTGTTTAATTTATTTCAGATAACATTTTGTTATCCATAATACTATAGTCTATATGACTATATCATTTGGTTAAACATTTAAATATTTGCCGTCGGAGGAAAAATAAATTAATCCTCTCAATATAAATTAAATACCGAAAAATACCGAATGCAATAATTCATCGCTACTTTATATCATAAACGATAGTTATATAACTTTATCATTGTATATCCGAACAATTTTTAAAATAAAAAAATGTTGGATGGTTGATTAAAAAAAAACGCTTGATAGATGAATTAAAATCATGATAATCATTGAATGATTACAAAAATTACAATGATACTTACATGATCTATTGGTCGATGACGATGACGACTGTGGGACGAGTACCGACTGTGTCTTGGGTTCGATGTGCATATTTTTAAGAGTGATGTTGGGTGGACTGGACTGATGTCCGCCGAGGACCAGAAAGTCCAAGTCGGTATTCCAAATATTATCTGAAAACGCACACAACAAGCTTAGATAAGAAAGGCAGTAGATTACGTCGCGCGCATTGTTTGAGGGTTGCACTGTGTTTTACGTGCGTAACAATAATTTATATAGGTATTCATAGTACACATAACAATATACGCTCCTATTGTGTGTAGGAATTAGTGAAAAGGCCAACCTCGCAGGGCATCATTTAGGTACCTACTGTATATTATAATATTATATATAATACACTTATATAATTCACCTAGTTACAGTTAATATTATAATGCTAGGCCACTGTCGGGTTAATATTCTGGGGTTGACTGAGCGGGGTTAAGCGAGTTCTTACACGACCTTAATTAAGAAAAAAATATAAAATGTGTGTAGTCGTCATAAAGTATACATGAGTTGATAAGCGGATTAAAAACAAAGTTATGTACGTAAGCATTCCTACACAAGAGAGTAAAAATTAAAAATGACACAATACGTTACACGAATATTAAAAACAAGGATATGAAAATTCCTACAGCAGTCAACAATATTATTATATAGTGAATTCCTACGTTAACTAAAAAAAAACATTTTACACGCATTTAATGTTTTAAATACATAAAATATTATAAAACATTTTTGTATAAAAATAGAATAACAATTTTAATGATTAAAAATATATTTTGAAGAGTTTCTCAATTAAAAAAAAAATCCAAAGAAAGACATTATCGCTTACATATTCCTTTGCAACATTACCTCTCACACCTCCATAACTTATTTCATGACACGCAATATGATATGTATTATTATTATTTACTTGTGGACATGAGACCGGCCTGTATGAGCCTGGCTTCGATCATGAGCTTGACTACCAGCAGGGCGAGTGCCATGAACGAGTGTAGAGTGGAAGAGGACGGCGGCCCGTGGGTCCAGCAGGATGACAGGCGGCGGCGACGGACGTCCAACAAGTTGCCAAGCTTTTCCGAATCGTTGGCCATGTTTCCAGTACGAAAGACGGCGGTGAATGCCACCAAAGGTACCAGCACGGCGGCCATTCCGATGGTGGCAACGAAGCAGTGAACTTCGTACCGGGGCGGAAGTACGCTCTTCGGTGGCCATACTACTTCCAAGTACTCTGAAATATTTTTAAAAACCAAAATTTATACAGACGTATTTTAAAATGTTATGACGTGATTTTGTATTCAATCAGGTAGCATTCAAACGTGTGGGCTGGCAATAATTTATTTTATGGTGGCAAACTTATTCTTCTAAAAATGATTTGATATTACATTTATGGTTAACTACTTAACTTACTAGCTAACTACTATACAATGCAGTGCGCACACGTCATCAAGAAGACCGTAAAACATATTTTAATTATTATAATTAATATAATTATAGATACCTATAAGCAGTAAAAATATTAGGTTTTTTATTTTATAAATAATTAATGATTATCATTAGCTGTTCATCACTATATTTTATATACCTAAATATATACTTTATCGTATTAAATTTGGATGTGTAAGTACTTACACTTAATTTATAAATAACTGTTTGTCTACGCAGTACATACTATTTTATAAAACTTTCACAAAGTCTCTAATTATATATTAAAAACTATATTTTACTCAATTTTTTAGTCCAAATGCCCACCTCTTGCATATCATAAAATGATAAAACTAATATATTACTATATACATTATTCGTGGAAGTAACACATACATGTATAGTAATGTAGTAAAGTCAGAAGGTCACGTACAGTTTTCAAGACGTCCTAACTACGATACCTAAAGTATCATACAAAAACCCTCGATGATTGAATAATAATAAACAAATTACGAAAACTCGACGTAAGTGGTCTCAGACTATCTAATAGTATTCCGTATAAATACCTTATTTTAAATTGAATCCAAAATATACAGATAAAAGTTTGTTGTACCTGAGTAAACTTTTGACTGGACTTTTGAGTAGGCTATTTGTGCGTATCATCGGTACGAATAAACAACGTGCACCGTAATACGCACGTTCGGGTCTCAATAATTTGCATACCAACGCAATTTGAGTACGCACATAATATTATTAGTTATGGTAAACACAACTACTATAGACTTGGATCGTGCAGTACAAGTAATAGGTAGGTATAGCTACGTGTCATACAGGGGACCAGTCGGCGGCGCAAAACCGTTTATGATAATAATTTAGCAGTATATGTATAGTATATATTGTACCCTTAAAGTTTTGAGTGTCTCCCATCCTACCGATGTATTATCTCGTGAAACTTTTGATAACTTTCCTAGTTCATTTATAAGTACGTCATCGTATTCCGTTTGCCTTTAAAGTTTCCACTACATTTTTGATACCTACAGTTTACATAATATCATGTAATATTATCATCAACTCACTCACTTACAGAGTTTTTTTTATTAAATTTATATAAGTACGCGAAAAGAAGTGAAAAATAAATAATAGTATAAAATGTTTAAAACCAGTGCCGTGTTAAAGAATTTGTCTCCCGGAGCAAAATTGAATGGAGCTGGAATTTATTATTCTCTTACTGATCACAGAAAAATGATTGAGAAACAATATATTGAATACATTTATAAATAATCATATTTTAGTCAACAACTGAATAAAATAGTATTTTTATCTACCTATCTCTATTTAATAGGTAGTAGTAGGTACTATGTACCTATTATATTATGTTTAAAATAAAATAAACAAAATTTGAAAATACTTTTTATAATCGAGTCAAAATAAATTTACAAACGAAATATTCTCAGATTATATAATATTTTGTATGTGACAATATTATTAAACAAAAACAACAAAAAATTAGTTGGACAGTGGGGATATAGGTACCTACTCTCTAAAGAGTATAAACATTTTGTACTAGGAGGGCGTCAGTACGTCCACCCGCATGTGTTTTGTCCGCCTTACAAACGTACAATATAGCAAAATTTTAAGCTTACAATAATATATTTTACCCTTTTAAAGTCCAAAATTAGAGAGCTTGACCTGGTATAGAATTTAGAGGTAAGATTTAGGGCATCTCGGAGGCTTTTATTGAAATTTTTTTATTAAGAAGCAAGCCCTGACCTTTCTGGAACTCTAAATTTTTTGTACATTTTAAAATGATAATAACTTACTTAAAAATAATAGTATCAATAAAATCCTTCGAGATGCCCTAGATAATAATCTTACCTTTAAATCTTATAGTGGGTCATATCACTTTTATTTCAAAAACAACGGTGGATTATTGTTAACGTAAAATGTGCAGTGTTGTACGTTTGTAAGGCGGAGACAACACGTCAACACATGCGGGCACGTATAATAGAATGTATAATATAATAGTATGTAATATGTGTTAAAACTATTTTATGTGAAAATAATATGGGGATTATTCAGATTCTATGGTAAAACACTGTCGTCGTTTTGATGTCAGTATAACTTGTATAAATACGACGGCATGAACCCGTGTCACATAACGACAGAATCTTTGGAATGTTATTACTTCAGTGGCAGACGTGCCTTTGTGATTGCACGGAACCATCATTATACTATTATAGTACATAAACTACTCAAACATCGAATAATTGAAACAGTTTTCGCCTTCATTTTCCTCAACCGAGTGACACACAAAGACGAAATGTTCCGTGTACTTGATAACTGATAAGTATATGACGAATATATAAGGTTTTCCGAAATTCGTCGGAAAACCCATAGCTGGTGAGTACGACCGCGACCGTAGTTTTAGCAGTGCTTTATATTACATTGTACCTACCTTATGCCAAGACGAGACTTTAATATGATACATAATTCTACTCTATACGGGCATACGGCTTTTCATAATCATTAGTTTCTGTCAGCTTACTATTGGCAGTAGCATAATATAAGGCGCTCTTTTACGTTATTCGTATGCATAGATTATCCAACGCTAACATACATGTTTAATTACTGAGATGGTCCTACGTAAGAGTTATGTGGGATAAAAATAAATTTCAAATTAATATTTATACTCCTTACGGTGTTGAAATTTTGTCAGCCAAGTTGCACAAATCATATTGGTGAATACAGGGTATGATAAATCAACCCCTTCTCTGAAAGGTGCCAATACAGATTTTACAGAAAGGAGTTTTTTTTATGGATTTTTAAGTATATTTCTTTTTTTATTTATAGGTTTACAAAAACATTGATAAGAACCACGAATATTTCCTACACAAAAAACGTGTTTCTTTTCACTTTTGTAATTTCTTTAAAGGTTTACGTTATGTTATTACACTATAATATTGTAACTCATATTTGTTGATATTGACTTTTGGTACCAAAATAATTCCATATTTTTTTTTTTGCTGTTATTTTCATCATTCATCTTCATAGTGATAAAACTACCGTTGTATTAACTCTCTATCACTTACTCAACATCACGTTGGCAGTAATTCGACATAAACCGTTAAAAAGTGACCGAATGAAGTCTTGCTTATTACTTCGGGTTAAACTGATAGTTATAATACTATGTGAAAAAAATTGATTTATAATTACAAATAAGTTATTATACATTATTAAATATTAAAATACATTTTTAAGTTTAAAACTGTTTGGGTCTTATATTTATATTCACCATCCTGGTCGCGTTCAGTTTTCTAAAATAGATGAACCACAATACTTGTACGTTATTGTACGTTATTATAAAATAAACGTAGGTAGCGCGCATTTTTCGACTAGGTATTTCCTCGGAGAATATAGTTCATAACAATATATATTGTTATCGGCAATCTGTATAATAGCATTATATAGGCGCCTACATATTGTAATATTACATATATGTTGTTACAACAGCGAGATGTGTACTAAGATAATTGATATTTTAACATCCCAGTAGCTCTACACAATATAAAGTTGAGTACCCCGAGGAGGTTATACATCGATTGTTTTGTTAAAATATACGAATAATCAATCATATAGAAGGTCTTTAAAAAAAGCATTCAATTTCACCCTGATATAACTGATATAATATAATATTATATTTTATTATTATGTGTATATAATAGTATTCAGAATGTTGAATATTAGATATGTAATGTTGTATCATATTACAGAATATAGATTCTAAATGATTTGGGAACATTTTAGGTAGTAAAAGAATTTAAAAAAACTTGGAAACATTTTTAGGAACAAAAAAAATATTATATATTCACACAACAGTATTATTGAAATCAAAATTGTGTGTTTAATCATTGATGATGATATGAATAATCACCCAAGTTGTTGTAATTGTTATAAATCAAATTTAGCATAAGAGAGGTGAAACATATAAGCGTCATATCAATATTTATTTTGAAATAAACTTATGCAGCACAAATTAAGTATAAACAATTATTACTATTAAAAAAACCATATGCATTATTATTAATTATAAAAAACTCATTTATTCAGAGTCAGCTTAAACATTCTATTTTTTACGTTCACTAAACAATAAAAACAAATAGGTTTATCAAAACAAGAGTACATATCAGTACTTTATTTTTTTAAACCAAATTTTAAACCTACAATATGTTTTTATGACTATAACTTGCATAACTTAACTTATATATTTTTTAAACATTTTAACTGAAATTGTCTAAAAAGTTCTGTATTACTGCAATCAATCACTTGAGCTTTTAGCATTAATAATTTATTCAAATGGTTTTTAAAATCAACCCAATAATGTTTTAATTGAGAAATTAAATAAACACTTAAAAACTATTGTAGTAATCAATTTCCAATCATTTTTGACTTCAATTAAAAATTAGTTATCCGTTAAAATGTAATTATTGTTATTTATCAAATAAATAATTATAAAAAATCGTTGAATAGCATTTAATTACTTTCCAAAATGTATGAATGGTAATTGGTATTAAACGTCGAGTACTCATAATAAATTTAATTTATCGTTTGCCAAAGAGAGAAGACCCTTCCTCAAAAACGGATAAAAGTAATAAATACGATAAATAATACCAGCAGAGTTCTAATAATGTCGGTGGTGAAATTATTTACATGCAAATTATATAATTTTGTGGCTGAAATAAGATTTATCAACCCGATATAGAATCACTAAATGAAAGCCGAGAGGCACTTCATCAAGTAAATTAAGTA